GCTCCCTGCTCCGCGGGAAGCCTGCTTCTCCCTCTCCCACTCCCCCTGCTTGTGTTCCCTCTCTCGCTGTGTCTCTCTCTGTCAAATAGATAAATTAAATCTTTAAAAAAAATAAAACAACAAAAAAACGGTACACAAAACTGATAACAATAGTACCTATCTCACAGAGTTACTTTGAGGAATAAGTGAGAAATTCCATGAAAAGCTGACAACAAAACCTTGCCAACAATAAGCACTAAATAAATGTAAGTTTTTATGTCCTTCCAGCCTTTTTAATATCCATATATGTACATATATATTTTTCATAAAAATAAGATTTGCTTGAACACATTTCTTGACTTGCTTTTATGTGGTAAATATCTATATATGTCAATAAATATACTTTTCCTCATCATGTTTAATAACTGCATAACATTCCAGTGTGTGAACAGACCATAATATATGTAACTTGATGTTGTCATTTATGTTGTTTCCAACACAGTATCATAAACAATATGATGAACGTCCTTGAACAAAAATCTTGGTGCACATTTTTCATTGTTTTTTTAGGCTAATTATCAAGGTCATTTTTTTTTTAACTTTAACAGTTCTCTTATTCCTCTGAACATCATTATCATCCTGAGTAGGAAAAAATAATAATAATGAAATTCACAAAATCTAAATACTCCTGATTATAGATACACCACTGTTTTGTAACCATTGAAAAAGAAAAAAACACTGCCAGTCGTGCTGTGACATGCCATTGAATGTAAGTAAAACATCTATCAATTTCAGAGATGTTACATAGGAGGAAATGTGTCTTAGAATCAGTGAAATACCAGTGTATAATCTATTTAGTCTTCCAGACACACAGTAGCAATTCTTGAATCCAACTGTAATATAACCTGTGAGGTGAAGAGGCCAAGCCACAGAGCAGTGACCTTTACAAGCGCTCACTTCTGCAACAAACCAAGCACAGTTAATCCATCAGGTCAGGCAGGTCACCAAGTGTTCACCACCTACAGACTGCTTCATCTGCTAGGTGCCAGGGCTCTTTTAAAGAGCAACACCGACTTACAGTCAACGTTATACAGGCCAGCCTTGTGGCTGTAGCTCTTAACTTAAGTTCAGGGCCTTCTCCCCAGCCTTGCCACCTTGCCACCCCTAACCTGCCCATTAAAAAAAAAAAAGCTCATTGGTTTTTTTTTTTTTTTTAAA